CAATTAACTTTCGTTTCTCATAGGACGCATCTCATATAGTGTCAAACTTCCAGTAAATATTAAAATTCTATTTTGAATAGTTTTTTCACAAAATAGATGTTTGCGTTTTTTGATCAGGAACTACCCCAGGTCACCCTATTATAATTATTTGATATAAAAATTCCACATTTTAATGAAACTTTTCCAGGTTTTCATCATCCTTCAATAATTTTTTTTTTTTGCTCACAATTTCTAATATTTGATATAACAAATAGAAAAAAAATCAGTTTTCTGATGAAAAATTGCATGGTATAGATAAAATATGGTGTCGATTTACGTTTAGTTTCCTGAAATACCTAAAATATCAGGGAAAGCTTTCTCTGAAATTAAGTGGAAGCTAGTGAAATTTTTCTTCTTCAGTGGCACAATAGCCGTGGGTGAGACCTAGCCTTATCCAGTAGTCCTGGCATCTCTCTGTTTGGTAACTGTCTCTCAATTTTTGTTTTTCTGCATGTGCTTAACTTTTTCCTAATAGGCGATGTGACAAAGATGAGGTCTGCCCATTCGTCTAACTTTTATAGGCTAGGTTAGGAATAGTTTGAACCATTTTATACTTTGTATTTCACAACATCAGACTCTTTACTCTGTGGCAGAATTTTTTTGGGCTTTCTGCGACAAGCCTCTCTTGCACATATATGTTTCTGGAAAATGCTTTTAATAACAAAAAATATACATGTACTAACTGAGCTTAAAGTAACAAAAATGTTGCATTTACAATAAAAAATTATTTGCATAAAATAAAATTGTATTTAATTTTTAAATGAATGTGTAATATTTTTGTATTCTAATATCATGAGCGAGATTCTCACATTTTGTAAGAAGAAAACTCACTAATTATTTCCTTTTTAGCATTTCGTAAATGATCATCACATTAAAAAAAAAAATTAAAACTCCTGTTTTCCTTAGCAGTGACTACCGAAAAAAGATCAACTGCGAAATCAAGCGAATCAGACTCTTCAAAAAGGGGGTACTAAATTCTTGCTTTGTTTCAAGATTCGGTTGTTGTAGTAAATAATATCATTTTTAAAATATGGGATTTTAAAAACTGCGTAAAATAAATACACCCCGCCCCCCGAAAGAAAGTGATAGAATCATTGCTTGAAAAATTATATTTTCATTAGCACGATTCGAATTTTCCATATTGTCGGAAATATATTAGTATATTTAAATATCACGTGAAAATCAATAACTGCCGAAAATACAATTGAAATACTACATGGATTTGTTAAAGTATCGGCATAAAATGAGCATGTCAAAAAGTGTTTAGTTAAACATGCAATGGAAATTTTCGGTGAAGAAATAATATTAACTGAAAAATGACCGGAATTTTAAAAAACTCCATGAAATTCAGTTTTACTAGCAAAAAATTGTCACAGTAAAAATAAATAATTTATTTGAGTTTCGCGTATAATTAAATTGTATAAAAAACATATATATATATATTTTTAAACGTGAGAATTGATAGCAATAACTGTCAAAAGAACAATTCAAATACTAGATGGATTAACGAGAATATTGGCACAAAACGAGCGTGTAAAAAAATTATTTCTTGAACCCGCGATTCGAATTTCGCATGCCGTAATAATATCGGCATTGTTAAAAAATTTATGAGAATATAAATAATAACTGAGCAATAAAAGTCATTTAGATTTAAAAAAAAAAAAAAAAAAGCATAGATCTGTAGCAATAACTGTTGAAAGAACGTTTGAAATACCACATGGATTAACGAGAATATTGGTGCAAAATGAGAGTGTTAAAGGAATGTTTACTGCAGAAAAAAATTCTTTCAACGTTTCAACAGAAAAGAATTTTTTTACTTAATTATNTATTTAAATATGTTCAGCTGTTTTCCCACCAATTAAAACTAATAAATATAGTTAGCCCTATATAGCTCACAAAAGAGCACAGTAATTGTTGTTTCCTTTTAATATATTGTGTATAATAGTACAGGGAAAACACAGGGAATTTTTTTTCCAGATTTGAGTGGCAACCCTGTAATATTAACTGAAAAATGACCGGAATTTTAAATAACTCCATGAAATTCAGTTTTACTAGCAAAAAATCGTCACATTAAAAATAAATAATTTATTTGAGTTCCGCGTATAATTAAATTGTATAAAAAACATCGATGTTTTTTTTTTTTTTAAACGTGAGAATTGATAGCAATAACTGTCAAAAGAACAGTTCAAATACTAGTTGGATTAACGAGAATATTGGCACAAAACGAGCGCGTAAAAAAATTATTTCTTGAACCCGCGATTCGAATTTCGCATGCCGTAATAATATCGGCATAGGGAAAACATTTTTGAGAATATAAATAATGACTGAGCAATGAAAGTTATTTAGATTTTAAAAAAAAAAAAAAAACAAAGCATAGATCTGTAGCAATAACTGTTGAAAGAACATTTGAAATACCACATGGATTAACGAGAATATTGGTGCAAAATGAGAGTGTTAAAGGAATGTTTTCTGCATAAAAAAATTCTTTCAACATTTCAACAGAAAAGAATTTTTTTACTTCATTATTCTTTATTTTTCATTCTGCCAGTGTTTTCATTACAGAAGAAAAATGGGAGAGAATTTCTCACCCTTTCTCAAAAACCGGGTGAGATTTCAAAAAGTTAAGTCAGATTTCTAAAAGTTAAAAAAACACGAATAGACCTGGAAAAAAATATTTCTTTAATTATAATACATTTTTAACATCTTCAAATTTCTAAACCATTGAATATTTTTGCTGCATCATCATATGAAAAATGTTCTATATCTACTTTTTCATCAGTATTCTCATTAGGTCGTTCAAATGCTCATCAGTCAATCTGTTACGATATTTTGTTTTAATTCGCTTTTGGGTGCTAAATGATCTTGCAAAAGATGCTGAACTATTCGGAATCACTAATTAAATTTGTAGCATTGTGCACACACTTTCCTATCCTCTACATCTGCAAGCATAGGCTTTTCAATTGTTTCTGTTATGGAATAGTTAAGTTCGTTGAAGTTATTTCCATGTTCATGCTTCTTGTTAGGTCTTCCAGCATAGTTTTCCCAAACTTCAACTTTTACAAATTGCTGTAAATTGTTAATGAGGCAGTTTGGTAATTCATTAACAGCTAAAAATAGAGCTAACTGTAAAAAAACTTATTATAAAGGGCTCATTTTTTTCTCAACGCTCGTCGTAGCTGTTTTATTTATTTTTTCTTTCAAAATGGTGAAAGACAAAATTTTTTCCGAAATTCGAGAGATTCGTGCATTTTAAAATTGATTAATAGAGTGCACGAACTTCTCGCCTTAATCATTTTTTAATGCGAGAAAAGAAAAAAATATGCGAGATTCTCGCACTGTAGTGAAATCAAGAAAAATCATGAACATTTCTTTCCCCTCCAATGTGTGAAAAAAGGCATCTTTTAAATATAATTTTAGAGAAAATTTTTTTTTTTTGCTGTATAGAAAACCAAAATTCTTTACTTCCTAAAATAAAATTCTTTCTCTGCAAAAACTTTAACATTCTGCAACAATGCCCCCGCCATTCTGCCACAGGGGTTCTTTAAATATTTATATTATTCTAAATTTGTTCGTCTTCGCCATAAAAGCCGTCCATCTGGGTTCCACTGAAATTACTTTTTAGGACTCAAATTGTTAATCAATCTCAGTTGTTCTCTACTCTCAAACTGATGATTTTAATACACCAATCTTTTTTATCATGCAAATATCTACCCTATAATACCAATACCATTATAACAATTTCCTTGTGATTAATGCACTTTTCCGAGCATCTTTATGCTTGAATTTCCCTGTCTCATATCACACTTTTCACCCTACTGCATTGTCAGAAAGATTTTTTTTTTTAAAAAATGCAGTAATTATATTCTTATTAATTTATTTAATGTCAATACCATTAGAAATTTGAAAAAATATTCTGCTAAACTCAAAAGAATTACAAATTATAATTATAAGATGTTGCAATCAACTACCCAGCCCCTTATTGACAAACTTCTCAAAATAGGTAAAATAGGACTGAACTAATAAGATATGAGTCTGGTTTAGTAGATGATCTGATAAGAGTCTGGTTTAGCAAGAAACATCACTAGATTAGTGTATTTGATACTGGGGTTACATTGTTACAATTTTTCTACTGATTGACTAAAACATTAATACATTGTACAATTTACAATTGTACCATTTATATCAATATTATTATTACGTAAAAGCTTGCAGTTTAATTTACTTTTAATTATAGTTTTCTTTAATATTAAAAACTTATTGTACCTTACAACCTGCATTTGGACTCCATTCTCTAGAAATCTGCTACCTAGTTTAACTTTTTTATCAGTACTTCTCATCATGGTTAATGACAGAAAGTTGCTATCTTGGTTTCTCATCTTGCACATTTCTGCTGCCATTTTTAAATACTCTTATACATTTTCATATGATTCCTTTGCACGAAAATTTTTTTTGGTGTTCTTTTATCTGTGGATCAAATTCAGCTAAGTGCACGTCTTTCGTCTTTTGCATTAATAAATTAAATGATTTCATAATTGGTAGGGTTGAGGGACAAAAAGCATGTAAATTCTGCTAAATTTTTTATTATGGCATTTTTTTTATGATAGCCAAAAGTTGCAGGGACTTAAAACACATGGGTAGAGTGACATAGTGTTGTAACTACTGAATTTCAAAATGATTCTTATAAAGCAAGCCCCATAAGTTAAAGACCTGAGTCTAAGTGTCAATTCTTATTTCATTCTTTTTTAACTACACAACATTCTTTATTTTGCTTACTCATTTACTTCTGAAAATCTTAGTGGAAGCTGCATCTAAATAATCTTTGATTTTTCTTAGTGTGCAAAAAGATCCAAGAGTATTTGCAAGCAAAGAATAGATCAACAAACCTAAAAAAACAATAGTAATTTGGAATCAGTAGTGCAGTAATTCAGAATCCTTTGAATGCTAGGAATTAAACTAAGAGTTAAGGGGTGCTCTGAATTGTATCTGTTTTAATTAGTGATTTGTTAAAGTATGTAAATTCGTTTAGGAAGCAATTGTAACTAAAGAGTCCTGAATAGTTTCAGCAGTACTTTGTTTTATATGTGCTATATGAATAAACGTAATTTTTCTATGTAAAGCTGTGTTATAAATAAAAAAAAAAAATTTTGTATTTATGCTACAATTGTTATTATTTTATTGTGCAAATATGCAGTTAATATGACAGAAAAGTGCAAGAAGGAAAGGAAAAACAAGAACAGAATACCATATTGATGTAATGATTAAACTCTTATGTATTAAATTGTTGTTTTCAAAGCTCCATGACCCATTTAAGATATTATTTCATGAATAATATTATGTACTATGCATGAAAATCATTATAAATACTGCTTCAAAAAGAAGTTTAGGCTAAATCAATGTATCACTTTAGTGTGTCATTTCTTTGCAAATATACTAAAAACATAGAGATAGTAGGAAATAATGAAGATGAAAAATGTATAAACTTCAAAGCTAATTCATGCATTTTCACTAAAATGCCACTTAAATCTTTCATTTACTCAGTTACACAATTATTACTAGTGTAGTTTTTGTTGTACATTTCTCTTTTTTACTGTGATCATGATTATAGCTTTTTGATTGACTGAGTGATAAACTGAAACCTTATTAAGTATTTCTTCAAATGTAATAATAAATTTTCAATAAATTGAAAAATAAATATATTTTAAAAACACTTAATTATAACAGAAACTACTTTACATACTGTTAGTTTTGGTCAAATCTATTTAAAATTAAAAAGTGTAAATATATATAAAAAAAAAAGATTGGTTTGCGGAAATGCCATTTAAACTTTGTAAAAAGCTTATTTAATTCAAATGTGCTTCAATTCAAAAATCACTTGTTACTGGCTTATTTGTTATAGTTTGTACTTAAAATTTTGGGACAATTTTACTCTGTAAACTATGCATTTTTTTAAAAAATGTTTTAGTGTAGTTTTTCCTGAAAAATTTTCAGTTAAGCAAAGCTCAAAAATACAGTCTGAGTAAAATAACAATGCGGCCACACAGAAGATTAATACTTTTCCATTACCAAGTTACTATTTTAAAAAATATATCTTTTTCAAAAATAAATTCATTTTTTTTGTATTTCATTATTTGAATACTAATATTTAAAAACCTAAATCTTTATAAATGAGTATTTTGATCTTTATTAATGCTTTGAATAAAAACAAAGTCAAATTTATATTAATTTTTCTTACATATTTTGTTTATGTAAAATTAAAATATTTTAAAAACTATTCATTTTCTGTAGGGAATTTTCTATTCCCTTTCTTCCCTTCATTTACTTCATTTTATGGTTTTGTCACTTTTTAACATTAACCCTTGTCAAAAGTCAGTTACGTGATATTAAAAGCCAATCAGGATGATTTGTAGTTTTCTGACTTTAAAATGCTAATGTTATTGTTTATTATTTTTATTATGACTTTATCGCAGCCGAGCAACAATAAAGATGTTTTAATTTTTTCTTTTCAGGAGAAGGTGGTGCCCAGCTAGTTGGCTCCCGCCTTTGGCAATAATCATTAATAATTTCTGCATCAGATTGATCATTCTTTTGTCGTACAAGTTTACTCCTTGCATAAGATTTTATGCAATAAGGATTTACTACACTAACAAAATGTCCAGCATTGTGTATAAATTCAGGTAAAGCTTCACTGTAGCAACCAGTGGATTCCATACATGCCTTTACTTCTGCTACGTTATGCTTTTGTAGAAAACTCAGCAGACCTTGAAATCCATTTTTTTCTAGTTTCACGTTTCCCTTTTTTACTTATAAACGAGAGGAAGACATCAAAACGATCTTTCGATACGTCTATGCCTAAAAAGTTTTTGATCATATATAACTTCATACATTACCATTTAAAGTGAAAAGTAAGGCTAGTCTTGTGAATAAAGAATTAGAACCATTTAGGTCTTTCTACGATACCGTTCAGCCTATACTTTTGAGAAGGGGGCTCTTATCTTTTTTACAAATTTTATATCTAAGTATGCACTCAGAGTTCCTCCCTTCTCCATCTAACGCTTAAGCTTAAAACATTAGATGCTTTCTTCAAGATACAAGTACATGTATTTGTGAGAACGCGTTACATAAAAATAGGGTTGTGAAAATAAAGGTGTGAAATTATTTCAACAAAGTTAGGTAATTTAGTTCATACGTAAATTTAGTTAAAGTAGGCTAGTATAGCTGGTTTTGCGATAGAGTAGAATTACTATAAAGAAAAGTTCGCATGATTCACATGGTAGACCAACGCATCCCAAAACAAAAAAACTCTCACGCTTGTTGTTTTTAATTAAACAAAAGTAACTATACTATTATAGTGATAAAAAACATGAATATATATCTATTGAAAAGTAGTATTATTGGTCATAAAAAAATAACTTTGCTTTGCTGATTTTTATTGCTACTATGCAATTAGAGGTTTTGCTGTTACCATTGCAAAATACTGAAAGCTCCTCACATAAACGAGGTGGTTATTCAAGGAGTCCAGGTAAGGAAAATAGTGAAATGAGTAGAAAACGGAAGCATTCTGTTACAGACAAAGATAGTACAGTATTGAAGAAGCTGTGCTATGAAGATTCAGAATTTCCTAGTGATTTACAAGATGAATCTAGACGGGATTTGTCTAATGAAGAAATAATATTTGCTAAAAGTGTGGTTGGTAGAGAAGGAACACCTGAATTTGATCAGTTCTTAGATTTTTTAATTAGAGAAAAAAGACTAGAAATTCTGAAAAGAAATGAAATAAAGCCAGCTAATATGTCCAGTATTTTAAATAGAGCACGAGCTAAAGCTGCAAAAGCTTTTGAAGAATTATATGACCTTTGGTTTGATGCAGAAGGAAATAAAACTCAATATTTAAAAACTTTAGAAAAAGAAGGAATAAATCTATCTAGTATGTCCAGTATTTTAAGTAAGGCAGGAGCTAAAGCTGCAGAAGCTTTTAAAGAATTATATGATCTTTGGTTTGATGCAGAAGAAAATAAAACTCAATATTTAAAAACTCTAGAAGAAAAAGAGATGAATTTAGCTAATATGTCTAGTATTTTGCATGGAGCAGGAGCTAAAGCTGCAAAAGCTTTTAAAGAATTATATGACCTGTGGTTTGATCAGAACGGGAAAAAAACACAATACTTAATAAAACTGGAAGAAAGTAGAGTAGATCTAGTTCGTATATCTAGTATCTTAAGTGGGGTAGGAGCTAATGCTACAAAAACTTTTAAAGAATTATATGACCTTTGGTTTGATACAGAAGGAAATAAAACTCAATATTTAAAAACTTTAGAAAAAGAAGGAGTAAATCTAACTAATGTATCCAGTATTTTGGGTAAAGTAGGAGCTAAAGCTGCAAAAGCTTTTAAAGAATTATATGACCTTTGGTTTGATGCAAAAGGAAATAAAACTAAATATTTAAAAACTCTAGAAAAAGAAGGAGTAAATCTAACTAACATATCCACTATTTTAAATGGAACAGGAGTTAAAGCTGCAAAAGCTTTTAAAGAATTATATGACCTTTGGTTTGACGCAGAAGGAAATAAAACTCAATATTTAAAAACACTAGAAAAAGAAGGAATAAATCTACCTAATATATCCAGTATTTTACATCGATCAAGAGCTAAAGCTGCAAAAGCTTTTAAAGAATTATATGACCTTTGGTTTGATGCAGAAGGAAATAAAACTCAATATTTAAAAACTCTAGAAAAAGAAGGAATAAAGCTACCTAATATATCCAGTATTTTAGGTGGAGCAGCAACTAAAGCTACAAAAGCTTTTAAAGAATTATATGATCTTTGGTTTGATGCTGAAGGAAATAAAACGAAACATTTAAAGCACTTTATTAAGAAAAAAGATGGGGACGAAAGTTTTACGCTGCATAACTTATCTGGTATTTTAAGTAGGGCAGGAGCTAATGCTAAAGATGCTTTTGAAAAGTTGCATAGTGTGTGTTTTTATGACAAAGGGAAAAGAACAGAACTTTTAGATGATTTCTATAAGGCAGGTTTTAAGCCAAGCAACTTATCCTGTATATTAAGTGGATCAGGGGTTCATGCTTCTTCTACTTTAAAAAAACTGCATAGTGTTTGTTTTAATAAGAAAAGGAAAAAAACCAAGCTTTTAACTGACATATATAAAGCAGGTTTTAGGCCATGTGATTTATGTAGTATACTGAGTGGAGCAGCGGATAGTTTAAAAAAATTTCATGATTTTTGTTTTACAGGAGAGACAAAAAAGTATTTATACCATTTTCTTTATGAGAAGGGAGGTCTTACACCGAGTTATTTATCTGGGATATTACACGGAGCAAAAGCTAATATTTGTTATGCTTTAAAAGATTTTCATGATGTTTGTTTTGATGAGAAGGGAAACACAACACAGCTTTTAGATGATTTCTATAGGGCAGGTCTTAGGTCGTATAATCTATCAAATGTATTATCCCTGGCAGGAAATAATGCTGCTTCTATTTTAAGAAATTTTCATATATCATGTTTTAAGGAAAATTATTTAAATCACTTCTTAGCCGAGGAGGAGCTTTTTACGCCAAAAAATTTATCAACTAAGCTATTATATGGAGTAGGAATTAATATTTGTCCTATATTTGAAAAATTACATAATCTTTGTTTTGATAAAGCTGGAAACAAAACAAGTTATTTAAGCGATCTTATCGAAAATCACCCGCCCCGCGAGATACTTTACATATTACGAGAAAAAATTTAAAAAGCTCCTTCTACTTTCTTAGATGGACAAAATTATGTGAAGAAGGCAAAGCAACCAATGCAGGTCCTAAACAAAGTAACTCATCTGAGAGAATAGAACAAGAACAAAATTTAGATAGTCTACAACAGAGTGATCCTAAAGCTAAGAGAAAAACTCGGAAGGGTACTACCAATCGGGGTAGAAACAGACAAGATGATAAAATTTTAGACAGCAACAGGTAGCTCTTGTATCTCAAGAGATTTATCTCCAAAACAAATACAGTCGGTATGCCATAACAAAAAACAATGAGAGATGTTTTCACACTTATCAAAATTTGTATCATCCATGGATTGGTAAAGCAAGGGCTTTATTTGAAGAACCTGGAGTTAAGATTGATGGTAAATGTGTAGCAATTACATGTGACTTATCTCAAGTTTTATTATTGCAGAGTGACAAATCTTTTTTAAGTAACTTCGGCTGAAATTTATGAGCATATAGCACAAGGTAAGCAGATATCTAAAAGGGAAGAAAGAGACGTTTTTGCTTTCAGCAAATTATTTGACAGTTTTGAACAACAACTAGATTCTGCTGCGAATAGTCTACCTTTAAACATAATCAATACTAAGAGCTACAAAACACTTGGTGGCTTATCTAATTGCATAGCTGAAATTAAAGGTGACTTTGCTATCCATCTAGTTACAAGTAACCACGTTGTTGCTATTTATAGAACAGATGATAATTATACTTATTTTGACAGTAACACAGCATTTGTTTCTGGGTTAAAAAGCGTTATGGAAGTTGAAGAATTTGCTGGCTATAAAGTAGGAGGAAAAGGTTTTCTTCTTTAGCGCTTTGATGTTGAGCAAGCTAATAAGCTATTATCGAGTAGAGGTGGACAAGTTCTGGCAAAAAAAATTAAAACAGAACGTCAACTTCTCGCAGAGCAAGATAAGGAGCTTGGCCTTATTCAGGTTAATGGTCAAGAAGTATCCAGAGTACAGTTATACAACTTTGGGACTAAGATTAATGTGGAAGGTAGTGTACCGTTACTTATTAACGCTGATATGAATTTAAGTAGTAAAAAATTCCAAGATTATCTAGGTAGAAAATAAGTGAGTATGACAGCCAGAGAATATCTTGATCACTTAAAAGGTAGCAAGAATGCAGGAGAGGTAGTACAAGCAACCAAAACAATCCCTTTCATAGGCTAAAAAAGTGAAGTTGAAGAAGCAGAGCAAACACACAAGCTTTATAAGAACAGTTGGTTAAAGGAACAATTAATTCTATACTTGCCCTTGTTAACATTAGCCGGTCAGAGAGTCAGTTGCCAGGAAAAACAGATGATAAACCTAGAACCTGTTTAAATGATCCAACAGTGGACAACCAACAACTATTTCCTTCTGAAGTTGTTTAATTTCAGCTTGAGGGAGACCAGTAGATTCAGCTATTAAATTGACAGATACACCAGCTCTAAGTAGGTTTTTTGCGACTTCAATTTTTTCTTCTTTTTGTCCCTCTTCTCTACATTTTTCATGACCGATTTGGATGCCTTCTTGTCTCCCTTTTTCTTGACCTAATTTAACACCTTCATCAAACTTTTATGTGTTTTTTAATTTGTTCATATGCTAGTAACTCTTCTTCTGACCAATTAAACTTATTCATCTTTTCATACGCTCGTTTGATGATGACGTCACTACCAACTATTTTATCTAGGTCCTCTTCCCTTGTTTCTGCTGCATATCGAAAAAAATAACACCACTTTTCAACTATATTTTCTAGTTGATCTTCTTTCGTTTTTGTAAATTTTGGTAGTTCTATGAATACGAAATAAAAGTCCTTTTAGTCATGCTCAAAGCTATTCTTTACTAAGATGATGTGATTTGTACTTAGTCTTATCTGGAAAAATAATGCAATCAGCAACAGCGCTGAGGATAATTTCTTGAGATTATGATAATCATCACCTTGATTTGCTTGATTGGAATAGGCTTTAGCAGCGTAATATTGAGTACGCTTTTCAAAGCCCTTAGTTTTAGTGAACTGGTCAGGTAAGGAAGCAGTATTACTACTACTCCCTCCCTTAGAAACGCAGCATGCAGGTTTCCCTACACTACGCTTGAACCCCTTATCTAAGTTCTTCTTTTCTCGAACCGGTTTGTCTTTCATAAATCCTCAGAATACATCAACTTTAGTGGTGACACTAACAGTAGAGAACCTTCTCTTGAAAAGTAGCTTGGTAACATTCTTGTTCGTTTCACTCTCTCATCAAAATACTTTTTACATTATAAGTCAAGTGAATTTGCATCCGCCCTGATTTTAACATGATGTCTAATAGGAATGTTGCTTAGTTTGAGTAAGCTCATAAACCTTATTCCCTTTGGTTTGTTCTTGCATACAGAAGTAGCAAATACCCATTGACGATGATTCATTACTTTAAAGTAACGATTTTTTATCCTTTACGGATGTCTTGTCTTTGCCCATTTCCATAAACTATGCCAAATTTCATTGTCTATCTTGCTGAACGCTTTTTTAGCATGACGGTAGTGGTTTCCCCATCCTCTTAAAAAAGGGTTGAGTGATTTAATTACTACAGCTTGTGAACTGCCTATATTTACTTTTATTAATGCACACACTTTTTTAAGAAACCTTTTAATACTTTCCTTCGTAATGAATAATTTCTTACTATATCTACGCACATTACAGCCAAGAAAGCCGAACCCTTTTGCAATAAATGTAATCTTTGTCTTTTCTTCTGACAGAGCTAGACCTCTTTCACGAAGAAAGGATAATACCATAGGCTTGACTTCATCTTCCAGTAACTCATGTGTAAAACCTGAAATAATAAAGTCGTCTGCGTACCTGATTTAATTTACTCCACTTCTGATTTTGTCTCTTCTTTTGCTACCTAATTTACCAAAGTGACTTTCTAATAACCGTTCAAGGCCATCTAAGGTAAAATTAGCTATTGGAGAAATTATACCTCCTTGCGGAGTGCCCTCAGTTGTGGGATACAAGGTTTTTGACTCTAAGAAACCAGCCTTTAACCAACTGGAGAATTTTTTTCTCCATAGGAATATGCTTCATAAGCCATTCATGGTTAATGTTGTCAAAGCACCCTTTGATATCGCCTTTTAATATCCATTGTGGTCGATTGCGCCTTGCCAATAATAAGTGACAAGCCTTAATAGCATCTGCGCAGGATCTTTTGGACCTAAAGCCGTAGGAGTGACGATCACTGATTGTTTCAGATATTGGTTCCAGAGCAAACAAATACAATGCTTGCATAGCTCTATCTTTTATCCTGGGTATGCCAAGAGGTCTTCTTTTGCCATTAGATTTATTGATATAAATTCGTTTTAGCGGGGAAGGTTTATATCCTCTTTGCTTTAACTGCTTTATTCCTTGAATTTTAGCATTGCAAGTTAACCACAGTTGACGATCTACACCTGCCGTGTTTTTTCCGTGTTTTTCAGTTACTCTTTTATCAGTTAAAGCTTTGCTACTAAAGAAGCGTGTGAGAAGATGTTGTAAAGCTTTCACCTTACCCCATCTTCCTTGTTGGACAGCCTTAACAATACGTCTTTGTAGCCGAACAACTTGTTGGCATTTCTTCTGGAGTAACTGGTTCCATGCGTCGGAGTTGTAGGTAGGTGCACTTACAGTTTTATTTGTAATCATCTGCTTTCCTGTTGGTGGTTAACAAAATTTCTTGTCACGAGGGACCAAGTGGAAGTCTGCTCGTTTTCACGTGAGTTGATGTTTTAAACTCTATCCATTTCGTTACAAAATGGCATTCACTTTCTCCATTACCCTTTACCTGCACTTTCAACAACATTCCTTACGGTTTGCTTGCCATATAGGTGGAAATACAGGCTTACCCTGTTGATTCTGTCATACAATAGTGGGTTAGGTGACTTCTTGATACCGGTGGAAATATTATTTGCGTACACCCAGAGAGGAAAAATGTAACTTATCCACATTACCTTTTGGTCAGAGCTTATCAGCATCTTCAGCTCTTTCATTTTAACGATACTTATGAAGCTTCACTTACATTCACCATACCACTAGCCTAGCCCCCCAACCACGTGATGCTCGTAGTTTATGCTCCTCTTATAATTACACATATGTACACTGACTGAGCAAAACTCATGGGATACCCACCTAATATCTGGTCGGGCCCCCTCTGGCCCTGCGGAGTGCAGCAATACGGCGTGGAAGTAAGTCTGCAAGGCTCTGGAACACGTCCGGAGGTAGTTGGCACCACACATCCTGCAGAGTGGCAGTCGATTGTGGCCTGTTCGTGGGTTGAGGATTCAATGCTCTGAGCCTGATGTCGAGGGCATCCCAGATATGTTCAATGGGGTTCATATCAGGACTTCGAGGTGGCCAATTCAGTCGTTGGATCTCACCTGCATGCTCGTCAAACCAGGCACAGACGATATTGGCGTGATGTGGGGCTGCGTTGTCATCTTGATACACAGCAATGTCATCAGGGTGTTGAAACATGACAAAAGGGTGGAGATGGTCTCCAAGCAGCTGAAGATACCGCTGACCTGTCAATGTGGCATCCAGAACGACCAGGGGGCCCATTCCATGCCACGAAAATGCACCCCACACCGTGACTGATAGGCCACCGGCCTGGACTGTGCCCACTTGGCATGCTAGATCCATCGCTTCGTGCGGTGTGCGACACACACGGTGCCTCCCATCAGCATGGAACAATTGATAATGTGATTCGTCAGACCAGATGACATTGCGCCACTGTTGCAGTGTCCATCCGTGGTGATTGGTGGCAAATGCACGCCGAATTGTCCGATGGCGCTGGGTTAGCAGTGGCAGACGTGTGGGGCGACAGCTCTCATACCCGAGAACACGCATGTTCCGACGGATTGTCCACTGGGACACGTCTCTATCATGGCCAGTGTTGAATTCAGCCGTGATTTGTTGCACATTTGCTCTCCTCGTTTGCTCTTTGTTGCACATCTCAAGTTACCACACGTCTCGGGTTACGCTTGTCTCGGTCATTTAGGGCCTGTGGACGCCCGGAATGGTGTCTGTTGTGGACTGTGACACCATCATTCACCCATTCTCGGTAAACTCTCGGCACGGTTGACCTTGGGAAGCCGAATTCCAGAGCCACTTCCAAAATGGAATGTCCCATGCGTCGAGCACCCACAACCATGCTGCATTCGAATGCCCGTTCACTCACGACGACGTTGCATTTTACCTGATCACTCACACAGTCACTTCAAGTAATGCCTAACACACAACTGAGACCGTTGCGGAGGCCACCAGGTGGCGTTGGTCACACGTGCTGTCCATCCACAAATCAGAGCCAACCACAAACCAAAATACAACACTCTCAGATATACTCGTGAAATAAACTAAATACTCACATACATTAATTTATATATATTTAATAATAGAAATATGAGAAATGTATATTATTTCACGCTATCCTCAAATATTATTAAAAAATTATAGTAAGTGATTAAAAATTGATTAATTTTCACTTCAAAAAAAAAATATATATATATATACTAATGTCAGGTGTATAGATAAAAAATATTGTAAAATAAAAACAAGAATTCATGAATTAAATGCATTTATATAAAATACAGTACATTTAGTTTATTCATTGCCAACATTTGTTTTTTAGATTAGATGACAGACATTATTTAAAAAAGACAAGCTCACTGGATAAAATATAAGTCACCAGAAGTCTCTTCCCTGCAATTACTGGTACTTTGCACTTGTGAAAAAAAAGTTAAGTATCTAAAACTCCAAATGTAAAGAAAAAGCTCTGCATATAGAAACGTTGTAATGTTTACATAGTTTACACAAAAAATCATCTTATGATAATTCATTTTCTTCAATTCAGAAATTCAACACCAGGGAGTGCAAATGCTAAATACTCACATACATTAATTTATATGTATATATTATTTAATAATAGAAAATATGAAAAATATATATTATTTCATGCTATCCTCAATTTTCATTAAAAAATAATAGTAAGTTATTAAAAATTGTAACTTTTTATTATTACTTTAGAAAAATAGTTTTTAAATTAACATAAATGTAACATACATAACAAAAAGCAAAATTAAAATTTTAACTGTTAGTAAAAAAAAATGAAAAGTAAAACTTACACAACACTCAAGTGATTATTTTGGAATAATATCCCAAATAATTCTTTAATGATATTAATAAATAAAAAAAAATGAACAAAACATGAAATTGATTTTTGTTTAAATGTCACTGGCCAATATTTCATTCACACTTGTAAAACAAACCAAATTAGCATGTTGACTACCAGTAGAAAATAGTATAACTTACCCAGTAACCAAGTTATCCGAATTAATTAATACTAATAATAACTAAGGATTTATATTATTTTAATTCTACTACTAAGGAAATTCAACAAATTGAAAATATGAAAACTTAATACCAAAAATTAACAATGTTCATAAAAAAAAACTTTGCTTTGATGGTTAAAGCAATTGGAAATGATTTGCTTACATGGGGTACATATAAGATAAGTAGCTTGTAACAGTATTCAGTAAACAACACTAAAAAATTTTTCTTTTAAAGGAATAAATAAAATAAAATTTTAGACATCTTCATTGATTAACATTTGAGAAGTTTAATTTTACACGAAAAATATTTTTAAAAAAAATCGTGAATGGAAAATTATAAGCAAAATTGCAAGGTTTTCAGACAATAATAATTATAAAACACACAAAAAAATTATGACAATAACATGCTGTTAAGAAAAGAAAATTTTTTTCAATTGGATCATAGTGTCTTCAGGATTTTGCACAGTATGTCCTATAACTCTCTTATCATGAAATAATTCATAATCATTTCCACCTTCTGAAGTTTTATCACCAAAAAAATATATTTTCTCAAAACCATCTTTCTCAACGTAATTTAGGCAAAATGTTTTATCCCAACCAGCAGGAAAGCAATCAAAACTAATCTGTCCACCTAAAACATTAAAGTAGACAATTCTGTATAGTTAAAAAAATATTAAAGATTTCAAACATTATTTTTGGCTAGAAACAAGGAATAATTTTTTAAATACATATTAATGAAAACTTATATCTTCATTAAGACTTTGATTTAGGTAAGTTTTAAGTATTGTTCACAAAAAAGTATTAGATATTATAACAAAGAAGCATTAAGCATAAATGAACATTGGTGAAGTTAGACAAATTTTGATAACCTTAAAGAGTGGTAAAAAATAAATAGAATTTAACAAGCTCATGCAGTGATTATAAAATTTGCATGGTATAAAATTTTTGACATGTAAAACATAAACAGGCTTGTTAAAATTAACTTATTAAAGTGTGAAATACATAGAAAATTACATTCATACAACCAATACAGGAAAATGATAGAAAATAAATTTTAATAGCTTCCAATCAAGCAAATTCAAAATAATTTCTAAGTACAATAAAATTTTTTAATAAAATTCACTACAGATATAAAAAAGAACTTCTGTATTCTGTCCTCTAAATTTACAAATAGTTTCATAAATTTTTAAAAGTAAATATAAAATATATGAAAGCCTTTCAAAATTAAATTAATTCTTGCATATAATTTTGATGTTAAAAATAAGAATGTAACGAATATTTGGCCACTATTTGGTATTTGGCCCTTTTGCCAAATATTCGGTACAGCAAATATTTAGTAGAATGTTTGGGTAAATATTTGGCTAAGGTACTCAGAAAGGTATTTCCGACAAAGTTTTTTTTGGGTAAATTCAAATAGATTTATTGAAGAAAATTCTAAGTTTTTTTTACTATACATTATTAGAAATAGCTTTAACACATATTTTTTAAGTTCTAAAACTTTTTTCCCTTCACCCCATACCAATAATACTGCTAAGTTTTGATTGTTTTTAAATCATGACTAAATTTATTAATATCTAAAACTGAACTTATTAATACCTATAACCTTCAGATATCTTATTTATTTTGGAATTAGTAAGTTCAATTAAAAATTAAGTTATACTTAACACAAAAAAAATTACTTTAACATTTTTATTAAGGTTATAATCAATTTTATTATCAACACTTTTGCAAATTAATTTTCATGTGTACAGATTATATATAAAATGCAATAACAATTTAATTTCAACACCTTAAGGACCAGTCCCCCACTATAATAAAGTCTTTTTTTTTTTACACTGAGCATTACCTATAAATTAAATATAATATAACAAAAGGTTTAAGAAATATTTCATCCGATAAAATTGCTTATAAATTTTTAACATTCATAAAGTAACAAATAATTAATGACTTGTAAAAATCGGGACTTAAATTTTAATACTATTATCATTGTTTATGCATAATTATATAAAAAGTATAAGATAATATTTGTATTTTAGTTTATTTGAAATATTTGTACAACACTGAAAATTGAAATTGTTCTTTGTGAAATCAGAGATGAATTTTTAAACTATTAACTAATATTTATAACCTTGAGAGAAGAGGAGACAAAGGCAATTTTCAAGAGAAAAGGTCTAAGTATTTGTGGTAGAACTCAGGTGGACAGCTTACGGTGAAGGCAAACAAATTTAGAATTACATAAAATCTTTAAAGAGCCTGATGACACATAATGCTTGAAAATCCAAAGGATAAAGTGTGCTGGACATATGGTTAGAATGCAGGAAGACCAAAACTGTCAAAAACTATTTCTAGCTAAGACTATAGGAATTAGACAAAGAGGCAAATCTTGCCTTAGAGGGATCAACTGTTTCAAAAAAAACATCGACATTCTGAGAACTTAAAATTGGAAGACAATCACCAAATGGGGAAATGCCCGAAAAAGACTCCTTGAGAAGGCCATTATCCACTCAGGGCCATTGAAGAAGAACTAATATTTAAAAATGCCATTATTGTGCTATTGAAGAAGAATTAATACTTAAAAATGCCATTGAAGAAGAAATAATACCTAAAAATTACATTGTTGTGGCATTGAAGAAAAACTAATACTTAAAAATTTATCAAAAACTAACCATGTAAATAGTTTCATTAATGAATGGGTAGTATAATGTATATATTTTTAAAAGAATCCCGTAATATTTGCTTCTGGATTAGTTCCTTTTATCAATTATTATTAATAAATGCTTTTATATTAATTTTTATGTCAATAAAATGTAATATAGGTAGTAAGGTTGAGATAACTGTTTTTGTGTTTAATGTTATTTATATTGAGCTGAACAAAAATACTCAGTTGTCTACTTTGAACAAGAAAGAGTGAAACGTTTATAGAAACACATTTCATATCAATTAAAAAACTCACCAATAGAATATACCAATCCAAGATTAGGAAAAGTTTTTCTGAGAACTTCTACAAACGATTCTCGAATTTTATGTATCTAAAGAAAATGAAACAACAAATTGAAAATCTTTAAGTTACAATAACACATCACATAAATAAGGCACATTTTGTATAAATTAGTGAAATAATAATACAATTATTTTATTACAGAAAACCTACATTATAGTTTATCTTTGCTAATGCAAACAGGACAATTAACAAAAAACAAGAGTAAATACTAATTGCCACCTCGGTAAAATATTCTTTTTATAAACTTATTCAGTTTTGAGGTATCTTATCTTTCTAAATTTTGTCCATTTCAGATAGAGTCTCAGGGCAATACATACACAAACACCAAACACACACAGATATATATATTTCAATAACACAACGAGGGTTTTCAAAAAAAATTTAAATATGAAATATAGAATAGAATTTTTACAAAAAGAGGTTGACTATTATCACACATTATATGAATATAAGCAACATTAACTCAACTTCAAATGAAATTCTATTAAATTTTATAGTAAATTTTAAGTTTGCATTTCACCCAAATCAAATAAAAAATACATTTTTTAAAAATAAATAATGGAAAAATTATATATTACTTTATCATATGCTGCAAAATCGTCACGTTCTGCTTGACTACAGCTTCTACCAATAGGGCATATATTTATGAGTCCATTACGAAATTCCACAAAATTTCCACTGAAAAACATATTTTTTCCTGTTACAAAATGTTATAAATTAAGATAAATCTGACGAAGTGTGCGAAATCCTTAAAAAATACAGTAGTAATTTTGTGACAAAAGAATTATAGTCATTATAAACATTAAAAATTTTAACATGATATCTTACCATTTATTAAATAATGTTATCTAAAAATGCAACAGCATTACTCACAAAGATATTAAACTCAAAAAATGTGTAAAATGCTTGAAATTATTATTTTGTAGTATTTTTTAATTACTTTTCAAATAATAATATAGCAACAAAAACAAATTATACTACATCAAAAGATTGTTACGTTTTAGTATTATAGTAAAGCTTTCATTGTTAAAGTTTGTATCAATTCGAATTTAGATATTGAGTTAGATAAAAGTGAAAGTACAATACTTACAAATTAAATTTATAAAATTCAAAAACAATGTTACTGATGAATTTGAGTTAAATTGAAGAAAATTAATATTGAAGACGGTTTCAGAATATTTAAAAATAAAATCAATTCCATACATCAGCGATGATACTACCTTGCATCAATCAAGAAAAAATATCAAAGTTTCTCTTATTTTTTTAGAATTTTCTTAACTGTTCTTCAAAATTAAATTATAGTGAAAAACTTAATTAGATAATAGAAAAAAAATTACTTTAAACAATATACTACTTTTAAAATTTCAAAACAATGCTAAAATAATTGCAAAGGAAAAAATAATAGTAAAAATAAACTAACCGTTTAACAGGCAAAGTTATTTTTGACATATACATTAAACAAAAATTTATGAGGTTCTGCAATTTTTCTTCACCCATATGTCCCAAAATACTCTGAAAAATATTTAAAATAATAAGGTCATTAGAAGGGTTATGGCAATAAACAGGGATTTCACTCATGCATTATGTGTCTAATACTCTAAAAATTGTGTAAGTACATATAAAATAAGTTGTCACACGCTCCTTGGAATTCAAAATTTTTTAGGGCAGAAAAAAAAATAGTGTGCCAGCAAAATTATTTCAACATAATTATAAACAAACTTTAAATATAGATACAAAAAATTTATTTTTCTTAATTATTTTTAAGTCCTTATAGCTAAAAGAGAAAATTAGAATAATTCTGGGCATCAAAATTATATCATTGCATTTACTTGATACAGGTCCTTCAATCAGTCCTAATTAAAAACCTTGATTATTCACATATTTGTTATGATTATGAATACATAATGAGTTTCAATAGATGGATAAAGAAAATCCATATTTCAGATTAGGACCAGCTTTTAGTAAAAAATGAACCAGCAGTATTGAAGTCCTGACCTACTGTTTCTAAAGTATAAGGACAGTGAATTAAGGACCTATTGTCTCTAAAGTATAGCAGAATCACTGGATAAACATAAAAAATATGTATGCAAATAAATATAGGTAATCAAAAAATAAACAACAAATTTACGAATAAGAACAAGACATAGGTAATAAAAACAAAATAAACCTTTTAATAAAAACAAAGAAAATAACATTAAAAATAATCACATCCAAGAATACATAATACTTAATTTATTATTTAAAATTCTTAGAAATGACTGCTGATTGAAAAGATTGTGCTAATTTAAGAGAAAACTTTCACCTTAGATCTATATAATTTTATTAGTAATTAGTAGATTTCCCTCCAAAATATATACTAACTGGACTTAAACATACCTAACAGACTCAAACAAAATTAAAAGCAGGATTAATTATAAAATTTTAGATTCATAAAATGACTAATCATCAATGCACTATATTTTATTCAGACATTTACAAAACTGAATCAGACTAAAACATAATTGGTCATTATGTATGGAAGGTTTTTAAATATCAAATTTTGATATTTCAAGCCAAAGTATTTAATTTCAATGATGCACAGAAAATAGATCAATATTTTTCAAAGACAAAATTTTACAAATAAATTCCAATATTATGACTGTAGTGTCATAATATTGGGAATATATAAAGCATTTCATCGATAAACGTATAGTTACACAAGTGAGCAAATTTAGGTGAATGTTTTTCCTATGCATCATTTCTCAATTAATAACATGAGAAAACTGACCATTCCTGAGAGAATAGCATAATTTAAAACACAACTTTCTACATATTATAAAATTAAAGTAATTTAATAAAAAAAAAACAACATGGAAACAATGAAAATATTGAATAAAACTTTAATCATAGTGCTAATTAACTGAAAATTTAAAAAAAATAATTTAAAATATGTAAACCTGTTTTCCAACAAGTGATCCATTTTTATAAGCGACTAATCCATTTTCTGCAAAAATATAGTCATATTTGTTAACCACTGAAAAAGAAAATTCACAAATTAAGAATTTTAAATAATCATGATTCAATGTACAGTGCACAAAATCGAAAATGGAACGCTCTGAATAACTTTTGATCTAATGATCGGATCGTCTTGTCTAGAACTTATTCTTAATGAGGGGTGACCTCAAATAATTACCTAGTGTAGACAATATATTTAGTTATGAAATCAGACACAGAAACATACTTTCTCCGAATAAACATACCGTTTTTTCAACGGGTTTCTGACCCCCAAAATATAGGGATTAGCTGCAATCTGGGAAATATGGTCCCCATCATAGTTTGGTTAAGATAGCGATGGCTAGTATGGGCTCCTTAATGTTAGTTTTACTTTTTGTGTATTTCGCCATATCTCGTAAAAATTTTAAGCGAAATAAAACAAATTTTGTGCACCATTGTAAAATTCAATTATCCAAAGGAAATTCCATTGAAAAATTAATTTTATTAAATATTTAATGGGTGTTGGTGCAACCTAGGACAATGTTCCATTCACAAATAACAATTAATAGGAAATTTATAAAGAAAACAAATAAGCAAAAGGGTGGTTCCAATTTGTCAGAATAATAAACAATTACTATGTTAGAGAAGAGTATAACAAAAATATATTTGCTTACACTTGAAAATTGGCACGGACCAGCCCTGAGAGAAACACATGGCATATTTTGAGAATTACTGCTATTTAGCATTTTAACATACAATGGTATTTAATGTTTCTCTTCTGATAATTAAATAATAAAACATTTTAAATCATTCAATAGAATTCTAACATGATTATTATTGGTATTATAATATAATTATTGACATCTTGCTTTAAAAATATAAATAAGCATGAAAAAATACAGCACAAAACTATGTTTGATTCTGAAAATATTCTGTATATATGATTCTGTAACAGTATGAAGAGCCTAATGAAAAACACTATGAGTGATATAGAACCACCAGAAATCGTCTCCTATACTCAAAGACAATATGTTCTTAAAGTTAGAAATTTAAAATGTTTTCAAAATATCACTTAATGTATTCTTTCACTAAATTACTTGATTTAATTCATATTAATTAATTAATAACCTCAAAATAAGAAATATTTTTATTTTGTACCATTAGGTACAAAAGCATGTTACATTTAGGTAAATATATATTTCTTTCAAATAAAAATCATATCAAAATGAAAATTAATTTTCTGACCAAAAGAGAGTTCTGTTAATGTTAAAAGAAATACATAAAAAATCAACCTGCAGAGCCTTCATTCATTTGTTCAGTAATTTTCTTCATATCAGATCCTCCTACAAGTCCTATTGAGACTTTCTCTCTTAAAACTTTCAAAAAATCTTTCATTTCATCTGATATTATCTGAAATAAATTTAAAATGATCATAAAAGAGGTATAAAAAAATTAAAGGAACAAAAACATCATAAAGAAAATATTTTAAGAACCAAAAATGTCACAAGATAATATAACAAAAGCTGACAACAATAAATATTTTTTACCTTTGATAAAAAGCTTCAATTGCATTGCAATAACTAAGAAATGCAACCTTATTATTTCTTTATAATTTTATTAGACAAATATATTTTTAAAATGAAAATAATAATGTTTAATAGTAAAATAAAATTCTTCAAATTTCTATTATATTATCATATCATATATTTATCATATTTTAAGCATTTCATAACTTTTTAATTTTTATTCATAGTTGATAGGGTTGACAACTTTTTGACATGTGGCAATTTAAAAATGGGTAAAATTATCACACAAAAACCCAAAGTACTTTTAAACATTCTACAAATTATATCTGCCATTCTTTCCTTAAATCAAAAGACAGGTAATACAAAACTAAAATAAAAATTATTTCATAACCTTTTAATGCTTTATTACATTAAAATTTTGTTTACATGTTCTTGTTATAAATTTATCCATTGATGTAATTTGGATTTTTCAAGTTGTAGATTTTACAAAAAAAAAATATTTCCATTAAAAAAAACAGAAATGATTTTATAATTTTTGTTGTAAGTTTTTGATCCTTGTGTGTTCAGTCAATTTTGCATCATTAGGATTTTCTGCTACTCAAAATATATTAATAATATACATGTTATTTAGATATGAAGTTAAGGCAAAGAGCCTTTATAAAGCTAAAACTACAACAAACAAACAAACTGGTGACAAAACAAAAAAAAGTCCATTTCGTATAAGCAAATCTGTACAACCAATTTTTTAATACAGATGTTATGACATAAGAGGCATTACATATTTCTTAGCTCTTAAGCTTCTTAGAAATAAATTTGCAAGATTATTTAAAATTGGTAATACTTCTTGGCAATAAATTTGTACAGATTATTTAAAATTTAATTTTAATAATGCTGGATTGATTTTAACTTTGGCAGTATTATTTTTTCGTTTACTTGCTAATAATGAATCGCTTCTCATGCTACTAAGTGTCATTTTGGATGTACTCATACACTTGTAATTTGATTTTGTTTTAAATGCCCCATGGCCCTTCAGTCTGACTGTTATATATGTTTGAAAACAAATTAAAAAAGAAAAATCATTAATGCTAACACTTTTATTCTCTAAGATTCTTTTTTTTTTGGACCAGCTCAAAAAAAAAAATATGAATAAATTTATTTATTTGTTACTAAGCTCTTGAAAAGTATAGTATATTTAGAATGGTCACTGCAAAGATCATTTTTTTTCAATATAACTTGCTAAAATGAAATAATTTTTGCCTATTTCTCCAGGAATTATAAAGACATAAGATATCATCATAGCATAGTTTTGCAAATATAGACCATTTCATCGAATACTAAATAGAGTGTAGTTAAATACTGACATTATAACTGAACTTTTGTATGTTTTTGAAGAGTTTAGGTATTATATTTCCGTTTGGATTTTTTAGAATCCAAATGTTATTTAAAGAATATAGAAAAAAATTATGTGGCAGTACATACACCTTAACAATAGATTCATTATGAAATTATACATAATTATGTTGATTGAAAATTTTAAAAAAAAATAATCACAGCATGAGTTCGACAAAAAGATTTATTTTATTGACGCTGATGACTATGCTTCATAACATTACTAGTTAGAAGAATGTCAACAAAAAAAAAACATAATCTAATGCTGCAAGGAGAAAAAAAATTTAAGCTGTGCATTTAACAATTTGAAAAAATACATAAATATTTCAAAGATTAAAAATTAGTTAAAGCAAATTTTAAGACAGCAGAATAAAACAAAAAAAAACTTATATATTTAAAATATTTTTTTGACAAAAAAGTACAAATAAAATAATATAAATTGCATTCGAATTTATAACTTTTTTAAGATTCGAAACTACTCAAATGTGTACAAAAGGAATATTTTTATATTATGATACGAGCCAAAATAATCCCTAAGTCATGGCCACTTCCAGGCAATGGCTAACTAAAAAAACACAAAAAGATGATAGAAGGAAAAAAAATTTAAAACATTGTAGTAGGGGACTAACCAACACCTCCTAGAAGAAGGAAGGCTTCAGCACGAATCAATTTAGTAGTCTGATGTGACGAAGTTAACTATGCAGATGAAACATAAGAAAGATGTCGTTACATTCGGGGTACTAAGCTGCGCAGTGGTTGAAAATATGAAATATGTCATTACGTTTGGACTACTAATGGATATTTATGGTAACCCGTGCTGAAGCCTGCTCTTTTCTAGGAGGTGTTGAACTAACTCGAAGGATATAACTAGTACCACCCCATGTAAGCCTTGGGAAAATAATTACAAATCTATAATCAATTTGGTGCCTTGGCGATAGTAGTTCACGTGACAGATTACATAATGATCCCCAGGGGGCTAACTCGAAAGTAGCTAGTAGCCAATCTGGCCAAACCTCTAATTTTTTTTTTTAAGATTTGCATGTTTACCCAAAACGGGGAGATTTCTGCATCGTGATCTTGGAAACTAAAAAAAAACACCACAGAAAGGGACCAACTCGATACCTATAACTTGTAAATCACGAAATATCCCCTTCGGAATCCTGCAAATTTAGTTACTTGTTTTTTGTTTTTTTTCTTCAAATGTAATATATTTTTTATCGCGAAAGTAAGAGGGGTACCAGATTGTTAACTTTCACCAAGATCTGTTTCCTTTATACCTGCATAGCAACGGACTAAGTATTCTTATTTCTAACTAAATTTCAGAAAAAATTAGAATCGAAAATTTGGGTATTTTAAACACTAAACTGGGGGAAACATTTGCACTTGTTATAACAAATAATTAAGGAAATGAGTTAAAAAAATATTAAATAGAATTAGGAAATAAATAAAAATTGCATTTATAATTATTTTACGGTATATATATACATAAAAAATCTGCAGATTGTTAAGTGGAAATTATAAAAAAATTAGAAGTCTAAATCAAACCTGTCGAGAAAGTGTCAAAGTGCCATCCACATCAAATAAAACTAATTCTTTTCCCATGTTCAGATAGTTCCGAAAATGTCTGAATTAACAAAATATTTTGGTACCAAATGCTAAAATAATGTTAGCGATAAACTTTAAATAAAGGTTATCAGCGAATAACAATATAACACATAAGCACTTAAGTTTTGATTTAACTGATGACAACAAACAGTTGATGCAGTCGAAATTTGTGCCGGCAGAAACTTTCGTTGCCACTCCAATATTCAATATGATAAAAAAAATTAAATTAAAGCACAATTGACAAAAGACGGTACGAAGTCAATGTCAAGTGAAGAAAATGAAGCGAAGAAATTTGCTTACAGACAAAACAAGCAGGGCGAAACCAGTGAATCAGCAAATTTATACATATGGTTTAAATCTCAACTGCTGTTAAAGTTGCTTGATCGCAATATTAACTTTATTAAAGAAAATAAATGGATGGTGATTGGAAAGCTTATTCCATTAAGGAAGAGCCAGCAGCTGAAATGCAGGTATTAAAATTTCTCCATTAAGCATCTTGGTCCATGGTCAGCAAGTTTGTGTTCATATTGTTTCATTATTGACGTCTGTTATTATTACTTGATCCCAAGATTTACTGTTGTAAAGAAATTAAATGGTTGGTGATTAAAAAGCTTATTTTGTTAAAGTTCGTATCACCACGCATCAAGGAAAGCCTGGAATTATTAGGAAATTTTAATTTGACTCTAAAAAGCAGGGAAAGTTTAATTTTTTTACAAAAGCCTTGAAAATTCTTTCATCATACCTGGAAAAAAACCAGTCTTAGAATTACCAGTAACAATAATTATTCATTAAGATTATAAAAAAAAAATCAGTTTTTCTGATGAAAAATTGCATGGTATAGATAAAATTTGGTGTGGATTTACGTTTAGTTTCCTGAAATACCTAAAATATCAGGGAAAACTTTCTCTGAAATTAAGTGGAAGCTTGTGCAATTTTTCTTCTTCCGTGACACAATACAGGGCTAAAGAGAATTGGAGGGATGGTTCACTCCTTTGGAGAAACTCTCGCCGCGCCAATCCTCTGATTTTCTCTAGTGACGTCACTTTGGCGCATAACTGGCACTTTTACTTCAAGAACAGAGCGTTCGGCCTTACTAGCTCCAACTAATATTGGAGCATTTCTTTTTGTGAGATATTCTAAGACATTTGTTATTTTCTATAATGACTTTCCTCAGTTTTTGCAGTGAATTTACAAGAATTTAAAACTATTATTGAAATGCCAGTTTGCCCGATTGCAACATGCAAAATTTCTGATAGAAAAAGAAAAAATATAATTTTCCGCGAGTTCCCTAAAGTGAATGAACAACTATGTAAAGAATGGATTCCGAAATGACACAGTTAATATAAAACAGCAATACGTTTATTCTGTCGTTAAGAACTTTTATAAAAATTCATTATCTAAATAGAAACCGCCTCGTTACTTCAAAAAGAAAGGCAGGTGAAAAAAATTTAAAAATGGATAAAGTCCAAGAAAATTAAAATGGAAATAAAAAGTATAAATTAAATATATAGTATATAGTTGAAATTCTCCTAATTTCCTAACATATTTTTTTAATGTAGATGTTCTAAATATTTATGATTTTTTTAAAAAAAATTATATTGTCTTAAATTTAAATATCTATTCGATAAATTATATCATCATAAATTTAAATATCTATAAACAATTGTAAAATTTCTAATGTCATTATGAGCCTAAATTATTATTTTGTTTCAGTAATTAGCCTTTAAGGTTGATGTTTTCTAATGATTAAGTATGAGCAAATTGCTATTAACCGCATATTTTAAAATCAGGGATTCTAAATTTAACTGAACTTATTGTTATAAAAGAATATGTAGATAAAAAAAGTGTCGATATATGCTTTCATTTTTTTAAATTAAAGTTAAAACTGAACTTTTTAACATTCTAACTAACTTTGTAACATTAAGCGACAATGTTGCCGCGATTCTGCCACGCCGGTTCTTTAAATATTTATATATACTAAATTTGTTCGTCTTCGCCATAAGCCGTACACCTAGGTTCCACTGCAATTACTTTTTAGGACTCAAATCAATCATTCGACCAACTAAATTTTTGACAAAAGGGCTGAATACCCGTTATTGTGTCCTTAATTTCAATGCAATGTTATTACAACCTGAAAAATTCAGAAAGTGGAGGGAAACATGAATTTTTAAACTGCTCACTGTTTTTAATTTTGATTTCAATTTTGTGTTGCTTAAGTAAACTTTTTCGAAATAAAAAAGAAAGCGTTTACTTTATAAAAAATCTAATAATTCACTAAAAAGAAATAATATACATTATAAAATAATTATTGAATCTTATTCTGAATTATAACGGCTTTGTTTATATTCCAGGCTTTTGTTTAAACATTATAAATTTTCTTCAATTAAAATATTTAATTTGAAATTATATTACATAATATGTATTAAAGGGTTCCCGAGGGCCTCGAAAATTTTAAAAAGCGGTAATGAAAATGAAACAAATTTCGATATTTTAATTTCTGTGTAACCTCAACTAAAAATTGTATTCCAAAAAAAGAATGAAAATTCAAGCTTCTAAACCACTTAATGTATATTAAAGTGGTAGATTAAAATAAAAAATACTTTTTAACATTAATCTAAATTTACAACCACCTCCAAAACTTGTCAAGGACTGTTGGAACCTGTATTGATTTTTTATTTTTACTTTCAGAAGCATGACAGTTTTTTTTTTTTTTTTTNTTTTTTTTTTTTTTTTTTTGGTTAGAATTTATTTTAAAATGAGAAAATAAACTTTTGTGTTGCGCAATGTGACCAAAGAAAAATTCTTTTCTTTGGTCACATTGCGCAATACTTTGTTTTGTTTATTTTGATATTATAAAAAAATAATTTTTTTTTTTAAAAAGTATTAGTTTTTAAATGAATTCTAATAATTAAATGCCTTTAATTTTCTACAGATATATTACTAAGTTAATAGATAAAAGAAATAAAAACACTAATGTTTAAGTAAACCATACTATATTTGCCATACACATGCCTAAATACATGTGCGTCCTTTCGTTTGTCAAACCTGCAGAGCAAGTGGCCCATCGCTCAAAAAGGTTGTAAACCCTTACATTGTGTTATTTCTTCACAAATATACTAAAAACATAGAGATAATAGGAAATAATGAAGATGAATAATGTATAAACTCTAAAGCTAATTCACACATTTTCTCTCACTGAAATATTTCATTTACTCATTTAATTATTATTACTAGAGTAGTTTTTGTTGTACATTTTTCTTTTTTACTGTGATCATGATTATAGCTTTTTGATTGACTGAGTGATAAATTTAAACCTTTTAAACTATTTCATCAAATGTATCAATAATAAATTATCAATAAATTGAAAAATAAACATATTTCAAAAACACCTAATTACAACAGAATCTGTTAGTTTTAGTCAAATCTATTTAAAATTAAAAAGTATAAATATAAAAAAAAAAATTATTTGTGGAAATGCCATTTAAACTTTGTAAAAAGCTTATTTAATCCAAATGTGCTTCAATTCAAAAATCACTTGTTACTATCTTATTTGCTATAGTTTCTACTTATAATTTTGGGAGAAACTATGAATTTTTTTTTAATGTTTCAGTGCAGTTTTTCCTGAAAAACTTTCAGGTACGCAAAGCTTTTAAGCTAATTATGAGCTCAGATTGTATTTTTAAATACAATCTGAGTAAAATAATAATGCATCCACCCAGAAGATCAATACTTTTCCATTACCAAGTTACTATTTTAAAAAATATATCTTTTTCAAAAATAAATTCTTTTTTTTTTTTGTATTTCATTATTTGAATACTAGTATTTACAAACCTAAATCTTTATAAATAAGAATTTGGATCTTTATTAATGCTTTGAATAAAAGCGAAGTCAGACTTATATTAATGTAATTTAATGTATTAATGTATAATGTTGTTTATGTAAAATTAGAATATTTTAAAAACTATTCATTTTCCTCATTCTATGTTTTTGTCATTTTTTAACATTAACCTTGTCAAAAGTCAGTTGTGTGATATTAAGAGCCAATCAGGATGATTCAGAGTTTTCTGACTTTAAAATGCTAATGTTTATTATTTTTGTTATTAATTAATAAAAATTTACATAAAAATGTCTTTTTCAGGGTGACATGGATTTTGGTGATTTTTCCTCTTCCAATGGCACAGAAATAACTGATGATGAACTTGTGTCTCTCACAGTTCGGGATCTCAATCGTCTTTTGAAGACGTCGGGTTTAAGCCGGTCAGAAATACAACGCATGAAACAAAGGAGAAGAACATTGAAAAACCGTGGATATGCTGCAAGCTGTAGAAACAAAAGACTGGAACAAAAAGATGAATTGCAAGTAGAACGATCCTCCATTTTAGGTGACATTAATAGCCTTAAGGAAGAAAATAGAATGATAGAAAATCAAATTGAGGAATTTAAAAATCGATATGAGAATTTAAGAAAATTTGCTCTTCAAAATAATATTTTCATTCCTCCTGACTTAGACATTTCTTTAACATGATATTTAAAAATTATGTTTGTTGCATTATTAAAAGTATTTATGTTATGCACTTCTAAAAATTATATTGCGATGATTTTTTGGGAGGAATAGTTGTATTTTATTTGTGCACTTCACTGTAAATTATGCATTGTTATATTATTATAATCAATTTCTACATTACTTAAAATGTGATGTCACATTATCACACTCATAAAATCTTATTTTTTAATCACCATTTGAAATAAATATTTTTGTGATTAAAGTGTAATGATTTTATTCATTTAATCTAGATTCTTTTAAAAGTATTGTTATTTATTATTCATTTTTGCCTAACTCATCTGTATACAATATGTGATTATATTTCAACTGAAAAAATGAGCACTGAAAAGCACTAACTTGATGTTTTGAGAAAAAGCATGTTTGAAAAGAAAAATTAGCTTGCTTGGAGCTATTAGTTTTGTTTATTTAGCTTTAGCTTATTAAAATATGCTTATTTTTGATTAAAAACCAAATTTGAAGTTATAACATGAACTGTTAAAAAAAAAAAGTTTGTTGCACTTAAATAATAAACCTAAAACAAGGAATCCCATCTCTTCCACCTCTTGTTAATATTTATTTTTATTCTATTTGCACAAGAAAGACAGGATACTATAAAGATGGGACACAGGTTAATAAAATTACTTTTGTGAATAAAGAAAACATTTTTTGTCTGAATGTTTGATTTTATATACAATCCATAGTGTGGGTAAAAATTTGGATCTTTGCAAAAAATTGTTAGATTATGATGCAAGCTAGCTTTAAAATCATAGTTTTAAGAAATTATAAAGTTTTAATATTTCATTTAAAATAACAGGAATTTGATTTGTAAATATGCTAGGTATTTTTAAAGATTCTTTTACATTATTTTTATAGAGCTAAAAATGTTGTTTAAAATCAAACAATCCTTCTAAAGGTTTTAACTAGAGCTTCTGTTCAAGAAAGATTACAATTTATACTATAATTGACAATATTTTCTTTTTAATGATTAGCAATTCTGTTTATCTCACTATTTAGCCAAATTTTACTATTTTATTCAAACTCACCAGCCGATAACCCATAAAAAAGCAAGAAATCTGTATGCTGTATAGTGCATTACTAGTTTTAGTATTGTCTATTTCATAATTGTTTTTGTATTAAAAAATCTTTTTTATTCAAGAAAAATATAGATTTTTGTAAGTGATAATGCTATTTATTTATCTTTCTCTATATGGGAATGATGAGTAAAATCTAAGATTACTTATTCTATTTTTGTTATTTTTAAAAATAAACTATTTTACTTAACACTACAGTAAAAATGTTGATTTATTATCTAGAGAAAGGTACAAATATGTTTAACATACAATACAAAATGTGCTGCAAAAATAAAAATAAAAAAGTGGGCACTGGATGGATTTTGAGATAGATACAAATTACCAAGACAGCTTTTTTATTTTTATTAAATAATAGCTAAGATGTTGAGTTTCGCTTTTCTATAATAAAATGAGAGGCAAAAAGTTTGTTTTTATTAGAAGGTAACATATATGTACAAGGCATGTTTTTAAGATATGCTCTCTTTTAAAATTTAGAAGCTGCAACACTGTATTAGCCATTCCACGTCCCATGCATTGACTACCTGCACTTGTTAATAGGCACCATTCTGCCAATTGAAAATCCTGTTAGATGCACTGTCATTCATTTTTTTAAATGCAAAAGTGTAGGGATAGAAAATAATGTATGAAGAGACGTCAAAAGCAACAAAGGGCTAATACTACAAGAATAAATTAAAAGAGGGAAATTATTTATCAAAATGGTAATATGAAATAAAATTTTTTTCTTGTTTGAAAGAGAAAATGAAATACAAATTATTTTAGCACTCCAAAAGATAATATAAACTAAACTGCCCCCATAAAATATTTTATCAATAGAAACAATTTTTTTTATTCTTTGTAAAACAATATACGAACATTTAAGATAGAAAAAGGCAATATAAGATAGATAGATTGCTTATAAGTCTTTTTGCTAGATATAATTTTATCACTAAACATAAAGAAATAAGTTAAATATTTACTTGCTTCTTTTTTTTAAGATAATAAAAGAAATGCAAGAGTGAAAGACTAAAGATTGGAGGAAAGAGGCAATATGAACAAATTATCCCTGTAAGTTCACACAAAATGCGTTACTAACATTGAAATATCCAAAATATGAAAAATATTTACTAGTTTCTAATATTGAAACACAGAAAAGAATGAAAACAGAGAAACAAAACACACAACTGGAAAATGGGGCAGAGCCTTTTTATTTCCAATGTAAATATTTGCTTTGTCTTGAGGTGATTTCCGAAACAGGATAGTGGCTCAACCAATTGTGTTACACAACAAGCCCTGATGAACAAGCAGGCTTCAAAATTGTTATTTGTTAAGACTTTAAATGGGGATGTGACAAATAATCAACGTTTTGGCTGTTAACTACACTATGTTACAAAATGAAAAGATAACTAGTTTTCTATTACCAACAATCTGCCCCCTATATCTCACAAAATTAGCCTGAAAAAAAAATGTGTATGTTATTTTTCTTCAATTCTTGTTTGCTATATCATGCAATTTTAACCTCATCAAGATAACTTTTCAAATAGCTAGTTTTGTAGTTGGTGTCTCAAGTTTTTTTCCTTTCAACTTTGTACTGCACAAGTTTGTTAAAATGTTCTTTATAATCTTAAAAATCTTCTTTATAGTTCTGAAAAAAAATGAGAATGTTTTGCTACCTCTAAACCAAAAGCTAATTTTCATATTTAAAGATGCAGTTGTAAAAAGTAATGAATTGTCATAAAAAAAAATCTTTATCGGTGAATGGCTTTTAAATACTGAGATAGTTTCAGTTTAAAATCTTAAATAAAATTCTTATTGTGTAATATATTATAGTTCAGCATATATTATACTGATGAACTACATCAGTCTAATAATCAATCCAAATAATTACAATAATAAAAATATATAAATGTTGTAATATATTAAAACTTATTTTACAATATCACCCAGCCATCATAAATCAAAGTTAAGGGTTTTCAACCTTCAGTGCAAATAAAAATTAATGGTAAGATTAGTTTTATGGATTCAAAGATCTGTTTTTAAAATGAACAATGTTTATTCATACATCACTTCAACAAACTTTTGGATATACAACCAGTGGAAAAACAAATGGTTCAGTAACAGTTATATCTATAAAATTAAATCAGCGCACAAATTTGATCAATTGAAAAAAATTAACATGCCCATACATTTGATATTTATTACTAAATTATATCAAGTAGTTTTCTTTCATAAGAGTCTCTTTAAAATTGTAAGTTTATGTGATCATTTTAAACAAATTTACATATCAAAATTTTAAAGAAAAAAAATAGTAGTAGTATTTACTAGTATCAAAAACAGTATTAAAATGGTTAATACCAGTGTATAAAATATTTTATGTCAACAAGGACTACATTTACTGAAGAAAAAAAAAGTTATAAAAAATCTATCCCCTAATAATTAATTGAAACTATATTAAGTTTTAAATTAGAGAGAATTGAAATGTTTTGTTTTGTATTTCCAAATATTTATTATATTTGTCAAATCACAGTACTAATGAACAATTGAACATGTTTAATTGCTTTTATGTTGCAAAAAAATAAAACAATGGTACAGTGTGAGTGTTTAGCTTAACAGCAAAATCTAAACATAATTTTAAATAATACTGATACATATTTAGGAGAAGTCTTAAGTTAAAATTTATTACAACTTATAAAATCTTACAAGACAGATTTTTATTTAAATTAAATCTCATGTGCTACAAACCATTTTCAGATGGGTATTATATAACTCTAGGTATAAATTAAGCACACATGTTAATCAATGTTTATGCATTTGTAAAAGTAACACAATAATAGACACCAAAGTATGAACTCTGGCCACTCAAAGAAACACTTTTTTTTTGTTACATAAACTATCAGTTTAGCTCTTTCTAATTTAAAAAAAGGGCAAGCAATTAAGGACCTACAAATTATAAGAAAATATTTTTAAAATTGTGACAAAGATGCATTATTTTTAAAAAAAATTAAACAAATGATTTAAAAAACAATTAAATCAGAGGAAAAAAATATTCTTAAATTTCTTCCTTGTTTTAATTACCATTTTTCAACGTTACAGCAATTATTTTACAAGTTATTTTATATATATAGACATTCCAACGATAGTTTAAGTGAATTAAATTTCAGAAACTGAACATTCCTTCAAACATTGTCACCGTATTGTAAAAATTTTACCATAACAGGATACAACTCTGAACTGAATTAGGCAATATTAGAAAAACTGTTTTTTTTTTCTTCTTTTTTTAAGTTCTGGAATACGTCTGAATTCTACAATCTAATTAAGTCCAGATAAGAACTATCTTGAACATATTCTTTGTATGCAGCATACTCAAGTTTTATGGATAGATCACTCATTTCTGGAATATTTTTAAACAGTTGCCATCAATATTTAATGTGGCCATTTGTTCTGCATTAATAATTCGAGCAGTTTTCATGACTGGTTGACAAAACTTGAGTGCAGGTAAGGGCAAGAGTTAGTGACACGTTGCTAAAAAGATTCTTAAAATTGAAAAAGGTGAAGCTGCACAGAAAAAAAAATATCTGGAGAAATAAGTTTATCTGGTAAAAGGCAGTGGACTGATCTTAACTCTTTTGCTGCCTATCACAAGTCAGAGCAAAACGAAATTCTTCTTAACAGTTAGTGTCGATAAAACAGAACAGATCATCCAACTATTTTTGCTGAAAATGTAAAATTTTCTCGACAATAATACAGTATTTATTGAAATAAACTTATTGTGAATTTTAAAAACTGAAGCAGTTGCTAAAATAAATCAATTTAACTTTGATTTTATCTTTATCAATTACCACTTTTAACAATAGAGCATAACCATCTGTACTTGGTAGGTTGTGAACGTTTTAAAGACACGGTTCCCAATAGAAAGCCAAAATCAAGCATTACTGGCTGTGGTCAGTGTACGGTTGGCGATCTATTTGATTAACCTGCGTATGAACCTAGGGTGCGCGGTATTGGTCCTTGTTAAACAGTTCTACCGTTAAATTCTCCACTTTGTACACATGTCATTGGGCTACTAAAGCAGAGGAGTCCTTCTTTCTGCAGAGGATCAAAATATTGATAGCATGTCTTCAGATCATTCTTAGGGATGTTCCCCAGAACGTCGCCGATTGCGCATTTCTAGTGTGACGTAAATAAAGTACTACTATTAAAAAATAAAATTTATACAGATATTCGGTGATAATGTAAACAATAGTAAATTAAGTAGTTTTTTTGCATCATTGTACAATTTATTTATGTAAAGAAATTTTTTTTAAACCTTTTAATCAGACATATTTTTATGTAAATAAACTCTAGCACTTGTAAAAGAAAAAATAAATTTTTTCTTTGTTAATAGCAAGTTAAAGGAAAGGTTTGAAATAGAACAAATACAAATCAAATCTTTTCATTTATTGTACATGCTATTTATAAATGGTGTAAACACTTTTTAATGCATGATAAATATCTATATTTTAAATTATCGAGAAGATATAATCTTACCAAATAAATTTAGAAAATTGCATTTTTAAATTTTAAATGCTTTAAAAAGAGGAAAAAATGTGTAACTAAAGATGATAAATTCTGATATTGGAATTCAAAGTAATTCACATTCTGATGTTTCTAAAATAAAAATATGAAATCGTCATCATTTTTTTCAGTGATATTATTCCTTTAAAATATTTTGTAGGATTTCTTCTTTAATATGCAAAATAATTTGAAATCAAACAGAATCTTAAAAGTAGAAATTTCAAATAAATAAATTTGCATTTTTATAAATTTAAGCAACACCTTAAGTGCAATATAAATTTTTAAATTACATTTACTCTCTATTTATACCAACTTAAGTTTTCACATATGTAACTTACTGCTTTTTAAACTTAATTATTAATATAAGAGATAGAATTATATATAAATATTCAGGGTGTCCTAGGATTATGGGATAAACTTTAAGGGGAGGTAGGGGATGTCACAAGTATTCAGAGTTGCATGGCAACCCATAGCTGGAAACGGTTTTGTTCGTTGTTAGGTTGTGTTTTTCACAAGATGGATTGGTCATGGTTGTTGACCAGTTTCCTGGCTACCACACAGTCCTGATTTAAACAAAATGGATTTCTATCTGGGGTGCACTGAAAAGTGCTTTCTACCATGGATTGCTATGCAATTTTGAATCCTTGTAATGTTCTCCACCCCCCTTTAAAAACTGTGGCAATAATCCTGGGACAATATATATATATTAAAAAAGATTTAAAGAGTACAACCACATTAAACTCCAGAAAAAAACGATGTGTATTTTACAATAAATGTGACAAGACTATTGCAAGTTATGAGATACCCGAGGTATATCAGAGAGCGACAGACAAAACCGATACATATTTAAACTAATTGTTCTAACATGCACTCAATTACTAATTATGGCAAAAATTATTCATCCAACCCCAAATTCTGCCCCTCCTCACCCTATTCAGACCAACTTTAACTATGGACCTCTATTTTAAACAAAAATGCAGAGCTGCAATATTTGAATAATAGATAATACCAGATTGTAAAAACCTTCCATATGATGTACAGATATTCAGAATGCCCAATTTTTGATAAAATAGATTTTATTCACGGGTCTGACTTAGTAATTGAAATTATTGTCAACACAAATAATCAACAGATTAAAATTGAACTCTCGAATCATTAATATTGTATATTACTAGCATATAATATTCTGATTATCATACCAAAAGTAATTTGAGGTTATAATTTTTTTTCTGACAGCACATATATGCAAGTTAAATATTTTAAATAAAACTTTAAAGCATTAAATAAATTACTAAATAAAAATACAGTAATTTATCAGCTTTGTATGTATTTTTCTCCCTCTATTCATAAATTTTTTTAAAACATATCTACTTTGGGTTATGATTTTTTTTAAACTCATATTATTTAATCTTTTGAATTACCAATTAATTTATATTCACTTCATTAATTTACTAAATGGCTTGGCAAAAAGAGAAAAAAAATCTTTAATTTATTATATTTATTTTCGATTTTCCAACAAAATTGCTTATTCTCTGTTTTTTATTGAATAAACTTGGAGAATTTTAAATTCCAACTAACAAATATATATGAAAAATATGTTATTTACATTGTGATATAAGTATTTTTATTTAAAAAACAGACTAGTTTTAAAGTAAGTAAACAAAATTGTATAATGATACATAAGTAATATACATAACACAATTGGCACATCTAAAAAAGTTATCTTAATTATATGACTAGATTCTAAGTATTATTAGTAAGCACACATAACAACAATAAAAGAAAAACATATGTATTCTCACTAAATAGCAAGTTATATTAATTTAAAATTAATATTGTACATATATTAAAACAGTTAAAAAAAACCATTATGTAATATAAATTAAATATAGAAAAACTTAACAGGTCTAAGTAGAAGCCAAAACAGCATTAACATAATAGCAAACATATTTGTCATCTTTTATAAATATTACAGAAATGGATTTTTGCTATCCTAATGTGTTTCTTTCTTAAACTTTTTTTGTTAGCAATCTTACAAAACTAAACATCATTCATAATTGAATGTGTATATATATGGACGGTTAAAAGGCATTTTAGATGAATCAATATTGCTTTTAAAATTATTCCATAATTTCAAGAAGAATAGATTTCAGCAGCCTTGCTTCATATGTGACTGTATTTTTGCCAGCGTGAATGGGTAAATTGTCCAGAGGTTGCTCCATTGCAACTTTAACATTTCTTCCATATGCTGTAATGGAAAGGCATTTCTATATGAATCATATATTCCAATCATCTCAAAGTTAAATTAGTATGAAATAAATATTTGTATGCCCAAATTTTTTTTTAACATTATTAACTTCATATTTTCTCTCTCTCTATTCAAAAAAAAAAAAAAAAAAAAAAAAAAAAAAAAAAAAAAAAAAAAAAAAAAAAAAA